TAGCAGTGGTTGTTTCTTCAGGCGGGAGCGCGCTCCGGGCTTGGTCACAAAGAGCCTTGAGGGCCCCCCATGTAACTGGGGGGCTGAGGTTGTCTTAGCCAGGCGTCGTCTCCTGCGCCGAGTTGGTCCGCCCCCGAACGTCTGTTGTTGAGTGTCATTTGTTTCATCTCTGATGTCGGCGGCTGTGGCTGGTCGAACATCTCGGGCAGGAACCCACACTGGATGGGGTGCTGTCTCTGGAAAGTCACAAGCGAAACCTCGGCCCTGAGTTAGGAGTGGGGCTGGGGGCTGCCATGATTGTGTCATGGGATCCTTCCAGTGCACAAGAGGGAGTGGTGTTGGAGGGGCCAGCAATGGGCCCCAATGTTTATGGGCGGGGGAAAGACCTTTTTCATCAGAAGTTAAAAGATTTACGGTTATGAGAGCTTTTGTTAGCAGTTCATCTGGCGTGCTCCGGGGGTGTAATTCCCCCTCTTTTTTTAATAAAGTTTTGAGTGTTTGGTGAGTTCTTTCTATGATAGCTTGTCCTTGAGGATTGTAGCGAATGTCATGATGTAAGGTTATGTTGTATTTAGCGCATGTGTTTTTAAAAGTTTGACTGGTATAACATGGTCCGTTATCCGTTTTTAGGTCCCAAGGGACCTCTAGCATGAGAATGGCCTTTTCTAGAGCATGTGGGGCATGTTGTGCCATTTCTCCCGTCATGGCTATAGCCATGGTGGCTCCAGAGAAAGTATCTTTGGTTACATGAATGTATTTTAATTTACTGAATGGGGGAAAATGGGTGACATCCATTTACCATCTGGCACTGGGACAGAGCCCTGGGGGGTTTACTCCCTGAGGTTGGAGTGGGCCAAGTGGGAGAAACGGGGCACACGTGGAGCAACTACGGACCAGATGTTTACATGTAACTTTAGGGACCTCTGGGAGAAGCTGATGAATGGCTTTGGCCTATAAGTGAAACCTAGAATGAAGTGTTTTTGCTTGCAAGAGTAGGTCAGACAGGGCTGTTTGTATAGCTTGAATACAGACTAGGCTGTCAGCTAGTTGGTTTCCTTTGGCAAGGGGACCAGGAAGTCCCGTATGGGATATCAGGTGTTGTATATACCAAGGGTGTTTTCTATCTTGAAGGGTGTTTTGTAAGGTTTTTAGGGCTTTATCTAATATGGCATCTTTTTGTTTTAAGATGGCATGTGGGATGACATGGCATATCTGGACCACATATTGGCTATCAGAGAAAATGTTAATAGAACAGTCTGGGCAGTGTTGTAAAACCTGTAACACTGCGAGAAGTTCTGTCACTTGGACAGAGAAATTATGTCTAGTAAGTTGTATTTTTGGGTAGTTATAGTCATGAGGATGGTGAATTATAATAGCATATGTTGTTTTAGAAGCATCCGTGAAAGCAACTCTACTGTGAGGTATAGGGGTCGAGGAAGGAAAATGAGACGGGCTCATGAGTGGTAATTGAGGGAGGCCTTGAAGGGTAGGGCTAGAGGGGTAATGATTGGAGGTTTGGCCAGGATAGTGCGATAGTAGGGTTTGAAGGTCCAAACTATGTGGCAAAAGAGCCTCAATTTGGTTAGTAGTGAGAGGGAGGACAATGGTGTCTGGTTTGTGTCCATAATGGAGCACAGATAACTTTCTTAATTGTATCCCCAAGTGGCAAATAGCAGTTAAAAGCAGAGTGATTTTTGAGAGGGAGGAGTAGGCGACATGGGCCTTGAAGGCCGTCTTCCCTGATGGCTTCTCTCAAGCATTTTAGAGTGGAATGTTTATGAGGATACCATCTTAAAGGATGTGCAGGATTTTGATTTAAATTTACAGGAAACATATCATTTATTTCAGTTTCCCATTGTTCCCAATTTTTTGCTTGACTGTCTTTGATTTTGCATAATCCTTTGTAATAATCACCCCATTGTTGGGATGGTTGTACTTTAAAATCTCTTTTTATATAATATCCATCCCATGGATTTTTAGGGTGTGATGTCTGAGTAGTGCCAGCAGGTGGCGCTATAGGATAAGCCGGAGGCTCGTCCCAGTCAAGTTTCGCTTTCATCAAGGGGCAGGGCTTATTGCTTGACAAAGAGGAAGTAGCCCGGGGCGGTGAGTTTTTGTTCGGGGCCATCATGGGTGGAGGATTTTTACTCGGGGCCATCTTTGGCTCTTGTTTTAAAGAAGTGAGTGAGGGGTATATATTGCTTGGTTTAGGCCGGGGAGTCAGGGGTTTTATATCGTCTGGTCCGGGGGTTTCTTTGGCGTTTGGTTCGGTTGGGAGGGGCATCTACAGGGAGAGGTCTTTTCCGAGCTGTTCCGTGAGGGAAGGCTCGGCGTCTGCGGCTGCCGCGGCTCACTCAGCGGAGTCTGCTAGGAGAGGGAAGAAGAATCCCCCAGTACTGGGAGAGGGTCTTATAAGAGATTTTACAATGTCTAGCCTGAAAGCGAGCAGCAAGAGCCCGTGCCTGCGGGTGCTGGTCCTTACGAAGCGCGGGGCCCATGATGTGGGCGGGGGCCACTTACCGACTCCCGGGGGGCGCAGGGTCCCTGTTCAGGCGCCACTTGAGGTTGAACCTCCCTGGGTCGAGGGACCTGGGCCCGTGGTAAGAGGCGACATGGTGCAAAGAAGACACCGGAGACCAGGCTGATGGCGCAGATCCGGTTTATTACGGAAGTACCCGGCGTTTTATTGAGCAGGCTGGAGGCGGCAATGGAGGCGGGGCTAGGGGCGTGGTTTGGAGGCGGTACTTTTGGCCAGGGGCTGTGCAGAAGTAAGAGGTCAGAGCGGGACAGCCTAGGCAGGGCGACTCACTCGTGTGCCCAGGACATGACGAGTCGAGTGTGCTCAGACTCACTCCTCTGCCACGGCCGTCAACCAGACCTCTGGACCTCTCTTTCCCACACTGCTTATTCCTCAAGACTTTCTTTGCTCCAGGAATGGGGGAGGCACAGCCGTAATCCCAGTCAGTAAGGAGGATGAGGAAGGAGAATGGAAATCTGGGCAACTTAATGACACCCTGTCGCAAACAAAAGAAAAACAAACAAACAAAAAAAACTTGGTGTATAGGCTGTATCTTATTAGAGATTGTTTTGGATTCATCTTTATCTCAACTAGTTCTTTTCATTCCAGAGACTTTAGATATCTTTGTATGTTCATGTATGTATATAAATTTCATAGTTTGATGAGTGGATAATATTCCACTGTGAATACACCATGTTATTTAATTACTATTCTTTTGAAGAGATTTAGATTAACAGCTTAAAGATTTTTTGGTTTTTTTCTTTTTTCATTTTCTCTTTTTAACATCTTGAAAATTGTCTTAAGCAATACTTGACTGAATAACTTGCTAGTGGCATCAGAAATTATAAGGGCCCAGCCTTCTCTGAAGCTTTTGTTGTATATTGCACACTGCCCTTGAGAAAAACTGGATTAACCTAAACCTGTAGCCACCGAGGTTGAGTGTCTCCCCACTTCCCTGTATTCAGCTGGTCTACACTAAAGATACACTACTCAAAGGCCTACTACCTACCTTCTCATCCAATAGATTTCGTGTTTGTTTTAATATTTAGATCTTTGATCCATTTAGACTGTAGTGCATGGTGATAGACATGGGTTTAGTTTTAGTCTTTGGCATGTGGAAAGCCAGTTTTTCCAGCACCATTTATTAAAGAGGCTATCTTTCTCCCAGTGAACACGTTTAGCCCCTTTGTCAAAGATAAGGTGACTGAGTGTGTTTGTAGTTGTGTCTGCATCTTCTAATCTGTTCCACTGGTTCTCAGGTCTTTTCTTTTTTTGCCAGTACCATCCTGGTTTGATCATAGTAGCTTTGTAATATAGTTTCAAGTCAGGGCGTGTGATGCCTCCTGTCTTTCCTTTGTTGCCCAGGATTGCCTAGGTCTCTTCTGTTTCTAAATGAATTTTAGGAATTTTTCTCTAGATCTGTAAGGTATGCTAATGGTATTTTGATCAGTATTGCATTACATCTGTCTAAGTTTTGGGAGTATGGCCATTTCTGCAATGTTGGTTCTTCCTATCCATGAGCATGGGTTATCTTTCCATTTTCTGGTATCTTCTTTGATCTCTTTTTTCAGAGTGCTGTAATTTTCAGTGTATAGATCTTTTGTTTATTTCCAGGCATGCGCCACCACACCTGGCTGTGCTGGGTGATTTTTGCAGGGAAATTTCACAGTAGTGAGGTGAGATCCCAAGTGTGAAACTGTTTTTGACATTTTTGTTCCCACCAAGCTTGAGCTCAGCCTCCTTGCTTACATGCAAAGACCTCCCCTTCCTACCCTGTCAGCTGATTTTCAGGTGGAGTCAGGGCTGCTCAGCTGACTCTCTAGGTGCTCCCAGACTCCACACCATTCCCTTTAACTCAACTCTGTTTCCCTCTTTCCTTTGTCTTTACCTTACCCTCCTCTTACCCTACACCTTTTACCACACCTTTTTCTCCTTACCACTCTTCCTCTGCCGTAACTTTGCATATTAGAAAGGAAATGAATAAGGAACTGGACGGACAGTGGCCCTGTATGCTCATATTCCTAAAGCAGAGAGGTTGAAGACGACTTCAGGAGGATTTGCCTGTGTTTCCTCTACCCAGGACGTAGAGGCAGGGACACCTGCTGAAGTGTTGATCTCTCCCTCCCACTCCTACCCATCACCCTGCTTTCATCTGGAGCCTCTTCCTTTCCCTCCTGACCTGCTTCCACCCCTGTTCTTACCCCCAGGTTCTTAGCCCAAGGAGGACCAGGACCAGGGTGTGGGGAAACATGACTGGGGCAGTTCAAACCATCTATGTTGGCGGCAGAGGGAGTGTGGTCTCCCCTAGACTGGAACAGATCAAACTGCAGGGCCCTGAGGACACATTCATGACAGCAAGTTGGTTGGAAAGCATTTGAAATTCTGTGCAAGGGTGGCCACTGTTAAGAGTTAACTGATTCTTCACCAGGAAGGTGCTCCTGGAACTCTCGCATGGTTCCAGCTTAGTTCTGTTCTTTTACAGTAGCCGTCTCAACATCTGTTGCCGTGGTTTTCGTAGTGTGTGCGGCACTCCCGCTGGCGTGGTATATCAGAGCAAGGTGAGTGACGCAGGAGGACACCGAGCCTTCCTCCCACAGTAAAGAGCCGTATTACAAGAGACTGAGATGCCCTCACGAAGGAAGACTCTAACACTCCGCCCCTCCGTATCAGGCCAAGGAAGCGTCCAGGCTGAGCAGGACTGAGCCCGTCTTAGAGAGCCCTTCCTTTCCCTTCCCTCAAGGTTCTCAGGCTGTTAGTGGGAAATGGGGGCAGCCGGAGCCTGGCTGACCATGCGGAAGGCAACGCTGCCGAAAGCCAGGTCATGAAGAATGGAGCCAGGGCTGTAATTGGGTCTGTGGCAAGGTGTGTGGCACAAGTGCTGGGTTCAGGGCGGGGTGCACAGCTCAGCGGTACAGCACCCACCTGGCAAGCGTGAGGCTGTGAGTTTGATTTCCAGTACCCCATCCCCCAAAAAAAAGTACTGAGTTCAACCTCCCTCCAAAGAATATGCAACTTGATGAATATGCAATTTGTATTATTGTTCTTATGTTACATTCACAGGAATATTCTTTTCATATAGATCCATTCAATACAGGCATGCTTATTCATAGTGAACTTAGGTCTGTTTCTAGTACTTACAGTTCTGCAATATCAGTTTTGTTTGTTTTTTATTTTCTGAGACAGGATATCACTATGTAGTTCAGGCTGGCTCTGAGCTCCCTGTGAGTGCAGGCTGGCCTCAGACTTGTGGTAATCCTCCTGCCTCAGCCTCCCAAATGCTAGGATTACAGAAGTGCACCACCATCATTGTTCTAATCTTTAGGCATTTTTATTTTTGTTTTTTTGTTTCTTTTTTTTGTTCTGTTTTTTGGTACCGGGAATCAAACTTGGGACCTTGTGCTTGTCAGGCAGGTGTTTGTGCCACTGAGCTATATCCCCACCCAGCATTTTTATTTTCATTTATTTTCTTTTTTGAGACAAGTTCTTGCTGTGTAGTTCAGGCTGGACTTGAATTCACTATGTATGCCAGGCTGGCCTGGAACTTGCAACAGTCCTCCTGCCTCAGCCTCCCAAGAGCTGGGATACAGGCGTGTGCCACCAAGCCTGGCATTTTTATCATTCTTTAACCAAACCCTCAATCAACACATAACACCCCCACCACCACCACTCTTGTTATTCAGAGCTGATTGTATATTGATTTTCTCTTTGAACATGTAACTAGGTGCTGAGAACTGTTTTCAGTCATTTGTATCAGTATGATCAAGTCTGGTCTGGCCAGACTTCCGGTTACCCTTTCCTTCTCCGGTCCCTGCCGCTGCGTCGCTTTCTAGCAGATGGTGAACAGAGGGCCAGGTGAGGGCGAGCATGGCGTGAATCAGGCCAGCAACCTTGGTAGATCTCCGGTGAATGAAAGGCTGCAGATACCAAATAGGATTTCAGTACTCCCTGCGCATCTGGGCACCCAGGTTTCCCCAGCCCCTGAGCAGCACAGATCACTGAGGACTAAGTGTTTATGATTACTGTGGGCAGAGCCTGTGTCTGCTGATGTTATCGACCCAAGCTGGCCATGCGTGCTTAATAAACAGGACCCGCTAACTTACGGCTGACTCACTCATCTTTTTCAAACCTGTGAATCATGCTTTGCAGGAATACTTCCCAGCCACGTGCTGTTGAAATGGAAACTGTGGAAGCAATTCCAATGACTGGGGACGCCAGCAGCAGAGAGGAAGACGCAGGGCCCTGTCCACTCAACCTCTGAAACTCAGGAAAACCAGCGGGCTCAGTCTGGAGCGAAGGATCCAGCTCTGCTGTAGCTGAGCAGGACCTGGGAGACACTGGGAAAAAGCCCAACAGGATGATCAAGTCTCTGGCTTGATCGTGTGGACTGTGCCTGGGCACATCCCAAAGACTGAGGAGGTCCTCCCGCATCCGGTGGATGCTGCCCGCCCAGCTGGCCGCGGTACACAGCCAGCTTCCTAAAGTGCGGACGGCTGCAGCTCTCGGGAGGGGGCTGAAGGTCGTCCTGAAGGCCTCGCGTCTCACTCTGACGTTGATGCAGACAGCTTATCCACTTGCCTGTCTACTCCGTACCTCATCCTGACTCGCAGTCTACAGAGAACAGTTAACAACAAGGCTCTTCTGAGCCTGGGAAGACACCAGCATTTGAGTTCCTCAGACCTCTCTCCTGCATGTACTGAAAGGGAGCTGAGGGCTGGGGATGTAGCTCAGTGGCATAAGCGCTTGCCTGGCAAGCCTGAGGTCATGAGTTCAATTTCTGGTACAAAAAAAAAGATGAAAGGGAGCTGAGAAAGGCAGTGGAGATATTGAGCCAGCGAATTCTCTTGATGTAAGGATTCAGAAGGAAAATTGAACTCAGTGATGTTTTATATGCTTTTATATTTATACTTCCCTGTTTGTTATGCTATGTTATGTATGATTTATATTTTGAAAGTGTGCCTTGTACAAACAAAATAAAATATCTATTTTCAGTATTAAAAACGTACTATAAGAATCACCAGAGAGAAGTGTTCCACACAGGAAAAGAGGATGAAGAGTAGAAACGCAGAGTTCAAAATGATGAACCTTGGGTTTTCTTTTTAAAAGGAAAAAACAGGCCGGGGATACAGCGCAGTGGCGCAGCACCTGCCTGGCAAGTGCGAGGTCCTGAGTTCAATTCCGGGTACCAAAAGAATAAGTAAATAAATAAAAGAAAATAGAACTCTAAAAGGTGGAAAAAACCCAGTCTTGCATAGAGCTGGCACAGACCACAGATGTGGGGTGTTTGCCACAGAACTTCCATCTGAGCAGAAGCAACGTGACCTAAACAGTAGCAAGTTCGGGCTCAGCTACCACAGCACCGCATTATTCCCTCCCTCCATTGTTGTTGTTACTGTTTTGCTGTTAATGATACTTCTAAAATCGTAGGCCTAATCCCATCTCATTTTACAGATAAAAAAACTGGACTAGAGAAGGTGACCTGACTAAGGTCACACAATTCAACTAATGCCAGAGCTTGAACAGAACTGGTCCTGGAGTTAGGGGAGGAGAGGAGCAGTCCTGGTTGTAAAGTACCTGCCCACTGCCCCCTGGACTTGCAGGGTAGTGGGGAGCTGCCACGAGCGTTTGGAAGGTGGGCACAGACACAGCACCCGATCGGCATACTGCTGGAAGCACCCCAAGTGCCACTTCTCACGCACTTCTGCAAGAGGTTTTCATCAAAATTAACGAAGCCTTCCCACATAGCTACTTGGGCTTGCTCACAGTATGGCAGTCTTGGGCCAGTCAGACTGCTCACAAGGTGACTGAAAGACAGTAGAAAGTGTCAGGCCCCCTTAAAGATTAGACCAGAAACTGTCACACAGCCCCCCTGTGATATTACCTTGATCCAAGCAAGCCCCAAGGCCAGTGCAGGTTCACGGGGAAGGAGAATGACAAACAGAAGGGACCAAGGGAAGCTGTGGCTGGTGACCATCTGCCGTACTCGTCAGGGCCATCAGGGAAGTAGAACTTGCTTTTCCAGCCTCAGCACTGTAAACACCAGTAAATGTTGGATGAGTGAATTAACAACCGGTCTGGGGCTTAGTACCTGCTACCTATGGAGAACAATCTATTTATTTTCTTTTTTTCTTTGAGACAGTCTTGCAATATAGTTCAGGCTGGCCTTGAACTCACTCTGTAGCCCTGGCTGACCTTGAACTTGCAGCGATGCTCCTGCCTCAGCCTCCTGAGTGCTGGGATTACAGGTGTATGCCACCAGGCCTGTGCGGCAAGAGTCAGTTTTTAAAATGAATATTTGAAATGGAAAAAGAACACAGAACTCCAATGGACCTGAAAGCTCTACAGCTATTAAGCCTTTAGCCCAAATGTCATTAGCTGGCTGTAAGTCTAAATAATTCACATGTTCTCCTTCCCTCGTTTCTTACCCTCCACAATGTTTTCCAAGACGACAACTGATCATTCACCTTTCATATTTTGCCTTGCTTTTCCTTGATCAAAAAATGATTCTCTTAGTCTCTTGTTTTTAAATTCCCTTCTAGATGTTAGAAAGTAGGAAAACGGGAGCCTCCCCACGTGTCCCATGGCCCACCCCACTTCTCCATCAGGAGACTGTTAGATGAGGCTACGTCATGGCTTCCGAATAATTTTTTTTTTTAAAAGCAGTGAGCATTTTGAGTGCACTTGGTTCCCCCCGGTCTGTGCTTCCTCAAGGCAGGAGCAGCCCAGTTCAAACCATAGGCTCCTCAACCTCCACCGCCTGGTGTCCACATTTAGTGAATGTTGTTTCGCATTGTACCCAGATAGGACACTATATTTAGTGTACTCCTGCCTTCCCCTAATAGGCTTCCAAAATTTTTTTTCCTTTGAACAGATTTCATTTTCATTGTCACTGAAACCTTCCCCACATGTGCTGGGCGTGAGTGTGGTGAATGACAGAGAAGTAGGGAAGTAACGAAGATCTGTGCTGGTCAGGTGCCCCAGAGAGAGAAAAAGTGCAAGTTCTCCTGATATGCTGAACGGCCCGTCCACACGGTGCATTAGTTCCGAAGTCAGTTACCCAGGCCGCGTGTCGTTAAAGGCTAGCTCCGGAGACGGCGCTGCTCAGTCCTAAAGCTGTACAGTAGGAGAAGTCCACGGCTCCAGATGGGTGGGGCTTATATGGCGGGCGGGGGATTTTCTGGGGACTGAATCCTGAACCTTCACACTGAGCCACATTCCAGCCCTTTTTAAAAAGTTGAGACTACATCACTAAAGCACTAAGGTGCCCACGCTAAGCCAGACTTGCAGTCCTCCTTGCGGCCTTCCAGAGTGCTGGGATTGCAGGTGTGTGCCTTTTAATGGCACTGAAAAAGTTAGAAATGAATTTTTTTTTTGTACCGGGAATCCAACTCAGGACCTTGCACTTGCCAGGCAGGTGCTTGTGCCACTGAGCTATATCCCCGGCCCTAGAAGTTATAAATGAGAATAACAAACTAAAACCCCTAAATTTTCAATTCAAGCCAGAGGCTGAAACCTAAAGACTTCCCACAACCACGCTGAATTTCATGCCTTAGGGATACAAGTCCAAGATACCTGAAATCTTCAGAGCTGGAGCCTCCAGTCTGTTCAGTGACAGTGGCTAAATCTGCAGTCCCAGTTTCCTAGCTGGAAGGCTGAGCATTCAGTGGATGAGGTCACCGGCCAAGGTCAAGGCCCTGAGTGCCGAAAGGGAAGGAAGTCCTGGGAGAGACATGGAGGACTCTTGCATATCCCACATGCACCCTCCTACTTTCCTCTGTCCTGTGAAGCAGCCCTTTTTTATCTGTTAAAGCCCTAACATTTCTTCCTTGGTCGCAGGGCTGTTCTGCAAGAGGAAGCCTGTTCTCCGGGTGACTCTGAGCATCCCAGTTAGGCTCTCCGATCACACAGAGCAGCCTCTGCAGCCAGGGCCACCACTTCCCAAAGGCCGTCCAGAGCTCCGCCCAGGCACCGCCCTCAGCTCCCACCGCCTCCCTGGGGGCTGGCCCGTGAGTCTCACGAGTCCAGAGTGGGGCCCAGGCGCATGCGCAGCCCAGCAGTCAGTGCTGCACCATCCTGTCTGCACACAGCCGACCTTGCTCGAGCCTGCTCGCCTCTCCAGGGAGCCTTCTCTCCCTCCTCGGAGGGGCCAACCTGTCTCTGAGCTCTCCTAGCACCTATTCACTGTTTTGCTTTAATGTGATAGCGACTAAATACTACTTCGAGCAGGGGGAAGGACGTGACTTAGAAACCTGAGCATTGAATGTTCATTCTACCACTTGCCTCCCACCACTTGGAGGAGTTACTTGAGCCATCTGGATTGGCACCACCTCGTCTTTAAAGGGAGGGTGACAGCAGAAGCACTATCCTCACAAAGGCCTGAGGTCACAGCTGAAACCTTTTTTTTTTCCTGTACAGCCTAACTCAGACATGGTAGTGTACTCCTGTAATCTCAGCATTCTGGGAGGCTGAGGCAGGAAGATCACAAGTTTGAGCCTACCTGGGCAATAAATGAGATCCTGTCTCGAAATAAAAATTTAAAAAGGGTTGAAGGTGTGGCTCTGTTCAAAGGTCCTGGGTTCAATCCAGGAGAGGGAGAGGGTGAAGTTGGGGAGGATGGACAAGGGGATGGAATACACACAGACAGGCTTCAGCCTAGCTAGAAAGGGAAAACATCAAAACAAATACAGCAGAGCAAAAACTCATGCTAAAATGAATAGACAATAAATGCCACATGAACTGTGAATATCCTGTTAGGTCACACAAATTGTTTTCTTTTTGGTTTTGGTACTGGGAATTGAACTCAGGACCTTGTGCTTGCCTGGCAGGCGCGTGTGCCAGTGAGCTATATCCCTGGCCCTAGGTCACACAAATTCTGTAGAGGCAGAAATCACTAAAACGTCTGAATGTTTGAGAATCACGTTAGAGTCAGGACGTGTTAGTGGGAGGAGTGGAATTTAACTAAGTGCACAGGGAGCATTCTAAACAGGGAGAGGGGCAGGCAAAGACACACTGTGAAGGAAGCATCAAGCTCAGGTGAGAAAGAGCACAGCAGCCAGGCAGAGGGGCTGCTAAGCCCAAAGTAGACTGGGCCATGGAACTTCAGATCAGCAGGGTTCTGGGAGGAGCCCTGGTAATGTTGTTAAACAAAACTGAAACAGAAGCAGCCTAAAAAGCAGAGATTCTGGCCATCAGCAGGACCTTGTGATCTCAACGCCATGTCTCTGGCTCCACCCAGCGGCTCCCTTCCAGCAGGTAGCCTCACCCCAAATACAGGAGGTTCTCCTTCTAGGGCTGACGCACTTCTCTGGGGAGAGCCAGAAGCACTAATTACAACACAAGTGTGTAATCTTCAGTGCATCCCAGCCAATTCCCAAGTTGCTCCAGGACAAAGTAGTCCTGGGCTGCAGGCAGTTGCAGGTGTTTGCAGTTCCAAGGGGCCCAGGAGGATGCAGAGGCAATGGAGGGGCAGCCCAGGGCAGCAGAGAGCTTGTCCAGTCCTGCCCACTCACACCAGCTGCCCTTTCCAACATTCCTCCTTCCTAGGGGCTGGTTTAGGAATGGGAAATTAACCCCATTTTGACCGACAACATGTGGCCTTGGCTGGGGAGGCTTCCGGGAAGGATTTTCTTACTACCGAGAGGCACAAACACAAGCTCACCCCGCCTGACACAGCTATGTCTGAACACTGCAGACAACTGGTCACCAGAGAGGTCAGCCTGGGCACAGCGGACACACTAAGGCTGACAGCAAGAGAAAAGCAGCAGGTCTGTCAGCACGAAGGTGTAACGGAGATGAGCATCCCTAGCACTCTGCCTGCTCCAGACTCCGCGTAAAGGCATCGTATCTTCCTATTCATATCCGTGACAGTTCCGCTTTTGGGCTACTCGCAGCAAAAACCATCTTGATACTGAGTGTGGTGTTAGAAAGTGTGGATGTTGGAGCTGGGTGTGGTGGGTGCACGCCTGTAACCCCAGCACTCGGGAGGCTGAGGCAGGAGGATC